TGCCGGTGGGCGGGGGGGGGGGGGGGGGGCTAACCATCTCCCATCTCAAATGCCACCGAGGTGGTGTATAAAATCCAACGGCGGACCTTGATGACGATGCTGCCCACTTATTGGGGAGACGGCCAAGATCTTGAAGAGATGCAACGAGACTCTTGGGCCATATCGCCGCGAATGGTCGGGAATTAATATCAGGGAACATCCGCCGTAGTGTCAAAGCGCCCCGACGCAACACGCCAAGCGGATGGATGGGTAGGGTGACTCTCCCCTGCTTTCGGCCGCCTACATCGTGGATATGTTTCTCAAGAAATTAAAGGACTATCCTGTCCCAGGTCTCGTCACCGTCTTACCAGAGTCTATCAACAGAGCAATTCCATCCTACCATCGCGCGTTTCTGACTGCTCTCGCACAAAAGAGAGCAGAACTGGGCCGGAAAGCCAAGGTCTGCTTCACCAGCCTCATCGGCTTAGCACAGGACTTGACGCATGACCAAATCGTCGATTATTCTGCACTTGAGCGAGGTATGCACGTGTTTAAAGAGTGGCAGAGCAAGGAATCTCCCGCGCTCGGTGCACAGTCTGCGTCTCCAATCCTCGTTCTAAAAGGCGAAAAGGATGAATTAGTGCCTTATCAAACAGCGAAAGAAGCTTGGATGAAGTCTTGCTCAAGTGGTAACGAAGTTCACTCGCCAATCTCCCAGGCATGGGGGCACACTGCCATGGTTAGAGCGTCTCTTCTAGACTGGATGGTTTGGGTTGATGGTTTATTTACCCGAGGGAAGACGGCGCGGAATTTGACCTGCTCTTTGGAGATTAAGAAGCCGTTTGATCTTGAGCATGTAAGAGCTCTGTTGGACGTGGACAGTATTCAAAACAAAGGCGATCAATCTTGCTAGCAATACACGGCCTCATTCTGTACTTCAGGAGGAGTGCGCCACGTTTAATGTATCTTTGAGTCCTCGATTGTAAGCAGCATTCACAATAATATTACATTATCCTACAGATCCTTTTTTAGTGAGTAGTCCCTTGTACCACTGTCGCATAGCCAGCATGCATTTCCCCGTCGTCCTATTCTGGCCTTCGAGGAGAATAAAGTCATGTGCCATCCGTTCCTGAAGGTCCATCCTTAGTTTGAAACTAGGGTTTGCCTGCTGAACCTCTGATGCATATCGTATCACTTGGTCCCGCAGAACCTCCTCGTTTCCTGCAGTGATGTACGCCGTCTTCACAACCAAAGGAATCCGGTGCATGTACGCCAAGTCTCGGTCGATTGGAAACGCAGCCATTTGCGACTTGGCGGGACAGTCGGTAACAGCACTGAGACCCAAGTAGTACATGTTTGATTTTGCCACAGTTTCCGCAGAAATCATGTCGATCCAACCGTTCTGCACAAACGACTCATCAGTCGTCTTGTTACTCAGTCGCGGAGACACCAAGAACATCCCGGCTAGCGGTTCATCAAGCACAATGGTCGGGATAAGAGGAACCGGTTCGCACAGGTGGCTTATAAGTTGAGCCGCAAGGTTCCCACCGGCAGAGTTTCCGCCAACGATAATGTCTCTGGGACGAATGCCGGAATCGAGGAGATGAGTGAGTGCTGCGACGGCTTGACGCAGCTGGACGGGATACAGTGCTTCCGGACAAAGAGTATACTCGAGCACCGCAACGGCTGTTTCAGCGTCATTCTCAATCCCAACACTGACATATGTGCGCCAGCACCACTCAAGATGTCCTGGTAGTAACGGCACTACATACCCTCCTCCATGGAGGAAGAGCACAACCTTCTTGGCTTTCTGGCGGTCCCCAAGCCAAAGAATGGACGACCTCTCGTCTATGAGAGGCTCAATTTCGACTCTCAGTCTCGCTTGAACAGATGCGTCGTCACGCGATTTCGACAACTTTTGCCGAACCCAGGTAATATAGGTCTTTCTTGTGGGAGGTGACAAGTACTGGATCTGGCGCCCTGTGAAAGTCCGCAAGACGACTTTGAGACAAGCACAGCGAATAAAGGGCCACAGTGGGAGACCCCTATGCAGTGAAATGGAGACGGCGCACAAGATGTATATTAATAGAGTCCATGGTGCTACTTATGACGTTAGAATTGACGCTGTACTTTGCCGCAAGAAGGGGCCACTTTACTCAAGAAGATGAGACGGATTAGCAGCAGAACCTTTTCGGCGGTGGTAAACGGCGGATTCATCAGTTGTGAGGGATGAAATATTGATGTAAATGTTTTTGTTGAGGACAGCCCAACTGTTGGAGTCTGGTGTTGAGATGCGGAGTTGCTTTCGGCGAAGTACCCGCTTTGATTTGCCCCACTTTCCCCGTATGGGGTCGGCCGAACTGGCAGCTTGGCAGCTCGGCTGATTATTTTGGGTTAGGGTAACCTAAATATTAAACTTGAAGGTCCGCAGCGTCAACATTGTGCAGCGACTTTTAGGCACAAAAATGGGGAAAATCAAGATATAATAGTATATGCTATCTCTTGAGGTCTACTTTTACTTGTAAATATTGACTTTTATATCTCAAATTCTCTAATTTGTGATGCATGCGTTAGGCTGTTCACAACCTGTGTATCAGCAATATGGAATACTAAGTGTGATTTGGGTGCAATCTATGTCTTGCAGCCGGCGATTCCGTTTTCTGACTCGCTCTAGCCGCCTAAGATCTGTTACGTGCCTGTTTGCGAGGTTTGGTCTCATTTGACGTTTTCTCTTCAGCGGCGATGTCGTCACAATCGTAGACGAATATCCAATGATGCAAGTAAAGTGTGTATATTTGGGTGGAGTTTCTCATCCGAATTTGCTCCTAGATTATGTGTTATCTTAATTACGTGAAGGTCTTGTTTCGACGGCACTAAAAGCTAGAGGTTCGCGTATTGCCTTTGAGAATAGGACTTGCGTTGAACATATAAGAAAAGTACAGGTAAGAAGGTAAAATATACTTAGCCACCACCGTAAGTGCTTTCAAGACCCCATAAAATGGAGATGCCTACTGGGAAAGAAGAGGCATGGAGTTCCAGCTCAGCTTGTAGAAGAGGAACAACTGTTGGAATTTCAACTTTATCGATCAAGATTTTGCACAGCGGAATTTGAAGTTTTCAATAGGCATTATAGTCGCACACTCCAATTACCAGCAGCAGAGAAGAGGAATAAGGCATTAGTCCAGCTGCTCCTTGATAAAGATGTCAGTATAGAAATTAAGGACAGGAACGTCCGTATACTACTCGCCGAGGCGACAGAGAATGGAAATAAAAAATCGGTCAGTCTACTCCTTGATGGAGGTGCTAACGTGGATTCTAGGGACAATATTGGTCGGACGCCTCTATCGCGGGCAATGGACGGAGAACATTATGCCTTGATCAATTTTCTCATTGGAAAAGGAGTTAATATAGACGCCAAAGAACTATTTACTACCAAATTTCTACTACGAGCAACAAAGAAGGGGAAAGGGGCGCTGGTCAAAGTACTTTTCGATAAAGGCTGTAGCATAGAATGAAGGATAATAATAGTCGGACACTCCTTTCATGGGCTGCAAAGACCGGCGACAAGACATTAATGGAGCTTCTCATCGAGAATGGCGCTGACCTGGAGAGCAAAGATGCAAAGAACCGGGCACCACTGTCATGGGGTACAGCAAACGGGCATGAGGCAGCTATGAGGGTGCTCGTTGAGAAGGGCGCAGATTTGAGAAGCAGAGACAGGTAATTCCGTACACCGCTTTCTTGGGCCGCAGCTAACGGTCGCCAGGCCGTTGTGAGTCTCCTCGTGAAAAATAATGCTGATGTGCAGAGTCGAGATGTTGATCGGCGTGCTCCACTAGTAGAAGTCGCAGCGAGCAACGGGTATTGGGAGGTAGTCACGATTCTGTAAGATGTCTCATTATTCTCAAAATGACTGCAAGAATTCTAGTTTTGTTTGTTATATGGCTCTTTTCACACACCCACGCCGCGAAGAGCTCGTTGAGGAGCATAGTTAGGGTTAGGGTTAGGGCTTCCGTGCTGTCACTGCAAGTTAGCGGGCTGTGAACCCGCTCAACACGCTCTTTTATAACTAATTCTTCCAGAATATCTCATCAAAGTTGATTTGATAACTTCTTAGAATATGTCAACTCCGTCAATTCAAGCAGTCACGTGCGGCGTTAAGCCTCGCTGATGTCTTGACGACCAGGAAAGGACAGTGATCTTCTCAGTCTCTTTTAGGCTTGTCTCTCCAGCTGAAAGCCCTCCAAAAGTTCCTTTCTCATGGTAGTAGATACTTGACCATTCAGAATCTTTAAGACATATATTAAAGTAGTGTACTTGAAAAGTATGACCATAGGGCGTTGGATTCATAAAGTTGTCATTGCGCTCTTCCCATGTAAAGTCGGTCATTGCAAATTGGCTGCCATTATCGACCGCCTGCCCGCACGGGTAAGGCGCCGCCATAGTTCACACGTCGCCATCTCTTCGTACTATTACAATCCATGATGTGCGCTCATTATCTTCAAATCAGTCATCTTTTTGGAAAATGTGGCGGCAGTTTCTCACTTGCATTTACCTCAAGCTATGTACTTTCACTCTTTATATCCTCCGCCGCAATGCATCACACCCCAATGCAAACTCGACCAAGCTGGTTAAGCTACCTGTCGCATCTTTCCCAGGCTCGACTGCTCTCTTTTTCCGTCGTCGTCCGAGCATCATTCTGAAAGCTCCTGTCAAGGTAGGCGATGATCAGATTTTGCGAAAGCGACACAGCGTGGATCACTACTTCCGTATCAAAGAGCAGATCCTTAGCAGGCTTGGTAACCACAAGGATTGTCAGGTCCGTTGCCCATTTCCATAAGGCTTATTCCGTTATATTAACCGGATGCCTCTAGATTTCTAGGCTCACGCACCGAGTTCCCGACTGGGCTACTTGTTATTGAGACTAGCCACGGAAACCTTCAGGCTTTCTTACATCAGCATGGCAAAGAAATTACACCCAGCCTTCGCTATAGGTGGTTTATTCAGGCGATCAAATCTATCGTGTTTATCCATAGTAAGGGTGTTATACATGGCGATCTGAGACCCGAAAACTTCCTCGTCCATGGCACATTGCCTCTATCACTTGACTTATGCCTCTGCGACTTTGGCGGATCAACTTGCAAAAACCTCCAGCTTACTCGCGGAAAACTTCCCGACTCTGGCTTTTATAACCCGAACGTTGCCTGGGAACCGACTTATACCGTTGATATTTTTGGCCTTGGTTCTGTCTTGTATACCATCATTACGGGTTTTTGAGATTGTGATTCCATTTGGCTGTGCTGACCTTGCAAGACAGCATAATCGTTAGAGTTTATTTTGGCCACGCCGACTCTGGCTATCGAGTCCTCAGTGGTGTAGCAGTATTCTAGATAGAAGCGGAAGACAGACAGCCCGAAACTTTACAAAGGTCTCAATTTATGAGCAACATGGTTTTGAAATCGCACTTTGATTGTCAAGGTACCTGACACGTAGGCACCTTACACTTTTGCCCTATGGCATAGTTGGTAAATTTTTCCAACAGATGGCTCCGAACGGGCACCAAACTCTATGTCAGCTTGGAACAAAGCTACTTCCCTAGGTAGGTATACATTCGGTAGAAGCTTTGATACTATACAACACTCCAAACTGCTATGGAGTTACCAAACAGTCGCAAAAGACGGTCTCGATTCAACGCCACTTTTCATTGACCACCAGTGTATCAGTTCTCAACACCAAACGATTGTTTACAATTGTGGCGCATGCAGAAAATAAAACCACCCCACCTAGCATACAGGCTGTAAAATTATCCCAGTACCAGAGCGTTGGATATCGACATGTCGAGAGCACTTGCGGTGAGAGGAAGCTACCTAGTCCGGTGGCGTTGATGGTGATTGAAGGATCATGCGAGGCCAGCCTAGCTGTGCAAATACATTGTGGCCTAAGCTTCTTTTCTTACCACACATTTTGTGATGCTGGTCGCGCAGGGAGTTTACGCCTCCTTCCACTTGACGATAACTTTAAGCTTCCGACCTAAGCGGAGCCATATCAAAGAGGTGCCTGGCTTTTCCTTGTCACAAGTATAATGGTGTTTCGTAATGATAGTACACGTTGTCAGGTTGATGCCAATACCACAATGTCACTGAGCTGTTGAGGACTCATGACGTAAGTCCATGTCATGTCTCAGATCCATCGCTGGTGGAAATGCCAAGGCTGGCCAGCTCTCAAATATAATCCGGGTCATCATTTCAGCCTTATCACCGCATGAGCCCAGAGATGAACAATCCAAAAGAGGTTGACACGGGACATGGCCCATTGGTCTGTCGCTTCCATCACACTCCACACCCTCTCAATGACAATGGGAAGCCCTCCCATTCATGGACCGTATCGCAATCTTCACGACGCCACATGGCAACACAAAGACCTCTTTTTTCGGCAGAGGTTTCCCTCACAGTGCATCTCTTACTGTACGTGTCACAAACAGGCCACCAAGCGCCCCCGAGGCGCAGCGTTGTTTGTGTCCACGTTTGACTATCACGTCTGACTACGACGTAGACGTAAATATGTAAGCCACGTTTCAAAACTTCAAATTCGCGTGGCTAAGATACATCTATTTTTCTCCTTTCCTTCTTTGTGGATAAGGATACATAAGAGGAAAACTCTTCTCACAACTCCAAGGTTCGCGACGTCGGACTCGTCTACCTCAAATCTGGCCGCCATCACTGTCTAGGTAGCTGGAAACAGTGCATGAACCGTTGAAAATGTATTTCCCGCTCTGGTGGCTTTTCCACAGGTGTCTTCTGAAGCACTTCAGATAGCCTGTTTGCATTCAGCAGTCCATTCGACACCTCGGTGTACCGCCACCTGAGCATCGCTTCCTCATATTGGCAGCCTCCAAAGCCACCACACCATCTACATGGCAACCTCTGTCTTGAGAAGCTAATCTACCCTGTCAGCATGTCTTCGGCTTATAACTGCACTTTTGGAGCATTCCCATCTTCAAAACCCGAAAAATTCATCCGTCTATCCACAAAATGTATTCCATATACATCGCCTATTGCGGGTTCCTGGGCTTGCTTTTCTGGATCCTTCACCTCGCCTATCCACGACCATACGCAAGGATCCCTTACAACAAGCATGCAGTCAAGCGTCTTCTGGGAGATGTCCCCGACTTTGCCAAATTCATCGACTCGGGCCAGGACCCAGCAAACTTTGGCATCGCGCAATGTCGCAAACTCAACTCACCCCTTGTCCAACTTTTCCTGCGGCCATTCTCTCGACCATTCATCTTTTTAGACGATGATCGAGAGGTTGAGGATATCCTGGCCACACGCACCAAAGAATTCGATCGAGCTCCTTCTACTGTTGGTGCCTTCAAGCCATTCTTTAAGCACTCTAGTATTCTGAAACAAACAACGCCGGCATGGAGAGCCCAGCGCCGGCTATGGGCGGATACAATGAGTACAGACTTTCTCCGCCGGGTGGCAGCTCCAAAGATGCACAAGTATGCCCTAGAACTGGTTGAGTTGCTCAAAACCAAGACAATCATTGCCGATGGCCGCCCGTTTTCCGTAGAGGAGGACTTTGATCTTGCCACCTTTGACATCATTTGGGCGTCTGTCCTGGGCTCAGGCTTGAACGGAGTTTTGAATGAACATGCCGGCATTAAAAATGGCATCAATAACGTGGAACAGCCCGAGTCAACCGATTCTCCTGCCGTGATGCCTCACGTGCAACGTGGGCAGATGTTTCTTGCCGCCGAGTTCTTCAACATGACAATGGAACGGTCTCTCTCGTCGCCTTTGCCGATGCTCCAGCATTGGATCTGGCGCCAGATGCCCAGGTACAAGAGGCACTGGGCAGTCAAGGAACAGATTGTAAATGATCTTATAAAGAACGCACGACACCGGTTCGCACACTTTTTCGAAAAGCAATTATCCGGCGATCAAGATACATGCGCCATGGACCTCGTCCTTCGTCGCGAGTCATTGGCGATTCAAAAATCAACCACACCAAATAGTCCAACTCCTCCAACAACGGCAGAGGTCCACGACGAACTGTTTATGTTTCTGATTGCGGTACGTGCTACTCGAGAAAAAACTAAAAGTCATAAAAACACTGCTTTTAACTTCAAACCAGGGACACGAGACAACGGCAACCATATTAACCTGGTCAACTAAATTCCTCACCAACAACCCGACAGCGCAGAAAAGGCTTCGAGCAGCACTCCAAGACGCATTTCCAGAGTCATCCCCCATAAACCTCCCAAGTGCGGAGGAACTCATCTCCGCCAACATCCCGTACATGGACGCCACGCTGGAAGAATGCGTCCGACTAGCAAACATCACCCCGCGTCTCGTACGAGTCGCCACCGTCGACACACAGGTACTGGGCTATTATATCCCCAAGGGCACGCAAATCATGTGTAGCCCGTACGTGGGCGAGGCCCCGTTCAATGTTCCAGAATCACTGCGGAGCGAAAAGTGCCAAGCGACCAAGAACAACGTCGAGCACAACTGGGACCCGAGCATGTCTCGGTTTTGCCCGGAAAGGTGGCTGGACGAGGCGGGCAATTTTAACCCAAAGGCATTCAGGAGACTGGCATTTAGTACAGGTCCCAGAGCGTGTTTCGGTGAGATGTCCATGCTCTCCGTTTCTATTTCGTCAGCCATGCTAACAGCCGAGGCAACAGGCAAGAAACTGGCCATGCAAGAACTGAGAATCATAATAGCGCTCTTGGTCTTGAGCTTCAGGTTTGAAGACATTCCGGACGCCTTGAATGGGTACCAAGGCAGGACAAAGGCATTGCACGCTCCGAAGCAAGGTTATGTGCGGTTGACGCCTCTTTGAGTTGAGTCGTGCGCCAAGGGAGCGGGGGAATAGATTCAGACTGAACACTATCGATACGACTAGATTCTAGAATCTTTAGTTGAATCAAAGCATTAATTCTGTTTCTCCTTTGTTGGTCCCTGGTTGTGAGCCCTTTGGCTTATGTCTCTGAAGCAGACGTACTTGCCATTTAGCCGTATCAGCGGTCGGTTAGGCAATAGATGGACGCTGCTTGATGCCATTCTATGAAGCAATCAGGATGTTGGAATGTACTGATCCGGGCAAGGACGTGTTTGGCTCTTTTATCGGGCTATGGGTTGGTTTGAGAACCGAAACAGGGTACCCATGTGTTGGAATTTACAACTTTATCAATGAGCAAATTGCACAGCAGAAAATGTGACGAATTTGACAAATTGTAGCCTTCCATGCTTGTTCGGACCCTTTTCAGGTCCCTGTATCATAGCCTTCGATTTGAGCCGTGATCTGAGCCCTAAAAAACAACTCGAAGGCGCCAGGCATTTTCAACCCAACACGGTTCAGGCTTGAGCCACACCAGCGATCCCATCATCGGGCTCTCTCATACATTCTTAGCTTTAATCTTTTTGTCAAGTTCTTTCCTAGTTTTATGGATTGACTTTTTTCTCTTTGCCTAGAGACCTACTAATAGCTACAACGCCGAAGTTCGCTTAAGCATGTCGATGCTAGGCTACCCAGTGCTCGTAAAGCAGGCGCATCAACAAATGACTCCAGCATCGATGTATGTTGTGGCGACAAGATGCTTCAAGACTCCTTCTCTGACGCATTGATCTCCGCCCTTGGCTGCACTTCTTTGACGAGTGAAGTCTCGGTATTGTGCTCTCCATATACGACGCATTTCAATATACTTTAGCACTAGGATAAATAGCTTATCCGTTCTTAACTAAAGGCAAAAAAAGATTCCCTCTACATAGGGTTCATCTTACAATACTGGGAGTTGCGGGTCACATGCGGAGGCAGCCTTATCCTTGCAAGTATGGACAACAAGAGACACATATATCGCGGCTATCCCTAGGCCGCCATGTTTGCCTAGGTCTTTCTTACGTCCGATCGACCGATATACGGAGTAAGCTGCGCGATGTCTCACCTAGACCACCACGGTGGATCTTACGTAGCGATCATATCCTATTTCATGGACGAAGTATTCGCATTTTTATGGCTACTTGCAGCCCTACGACCTTGCAGCATTGACACGTGTCACATGGCAAAGGAAAAAGAAAGGGCAGATCGCATCATCTGCAGGTACACAAGCCGATGCAAAGGGCCAAATCCGGCATTGGCAGAGTCTTCCTAGCTTGAGCCTTGAATCGAGTTCTTGATTGCCACTAATGTTGGTGTTTCACTAGAAATTCCTCCGTGTGCGGTCCGGTATAGCTTTCGAGGAAGCCCAAACAGGATCGCAACACAAGGTCAAAATACGCTGTGTTTGGGATCAAAACTAGATGGGATTCAAATTGGGCGCGTAACTCGTAGATATTTCGTACACGCCCCGGTATATACCCGGCATATTCATCAAGGCTTAAAGATGGCTGAATAAGTTCTTCTTGAAAGCACACGGATACCTAAAACAAACGATAAAATGTCAAGCTGCAGTTTGTCGTCCCAAGTATTCGGCCACCCTGTGGCGTTGAGAGAGTCCAAAAGCGTCGACCGGCGCTGGCGAGGACAATTTTCTTATCAGTCATGGTCCTAGGCACGCGAGGTTAATTAACCAATAAGACGCATTGATCGGCATGCAAGTTGGACGCTGGAAAGAGTCGACACAATGACACATCGATTTCACACGATGAGAAGTAGCTGCTGTCTCACCCACCTCACATCCAGGCATTAGGCACAACTCACCCGCATTTCTGCTTTCCCTTTGTCCCGCAATCGCAATTGAAACAGAAAACTTCCCACTCAACGCGATTTCCCGCGTATTGCCAACTAAATGACTCGACTCCACGGTAGGTCGACATGGTGGCGCAGCTACAACCTGATAGCAAGGCCTTTCCCCGGTAGCTTGATTGGCTCCTCATTGTCGTCGAATGTGACTGGAATTGCTCTTATCAGCCCAGATCGGCCAGTTGGAGACATGACACTGAAATGCGAGACCCTCATCATACACCACTTTCGTACGGAGTACGGACGACTACCTTCCATACCTTTTCTTTCCCGCAGCCCGGACAATGACCTGCTGTTTAAGATGCAGAAATACACAGAACTTTTCCTTGGGTATTCTATTGCAAGAGTTATGCATCGGCTCAGACATGTCAGCTCCCTCGGATGACTTGATTCGATCAATTGGTGTGGCAGGCCTCACCCTCCAGAGGGCTGTGTGAGCAAAAACCAACACGGGGCCCCAGATGGCTCTGGTGTTTTTGCATCTGCGATCGACATCCTTTGTTTGGCTCAGTGTGTGTGATTTAGTTGTCATATGCTCATTGCCATCGACGTCTTTGTGCTTTGGTAGATGCTCAGTGGTCGTACGTTTTAATAGACGTCTTTCTCCGCTGCACTCTTGTCGCCCTCGACTACTGTGATGACGAGCCGAAACGAAAATAAGCGTTCAAAGCCACGAGCCGCTAAAGCCCAGCGTCCCTGGTAGGTTCAAGTGGTAGTTGCGCACTGACTGTGGGTGCCTCCGAGCAATGGCGTTCCAAAACGAAGTCGACGACGTGGTCGAGTTCCTTCTTGCGCCCTTTCGCGACATTGTCAGCAACAGAGTGTAAAAACGGGTACCCGTGGGCACCCGTGGGTATCCAAGTTTTTCTTGGGTTATTCGTGGGTTACCCATCTTATCATGTAAGTGGTTTAGGTATACTACGAGTAACCTAATATAAAAATAGGTACCTTATAAATACCTATAAACGTAT